TCCTTCAATTTATTGTTGGTGTATTTCCAGTATGTTATAGGACACTCTTTTCTGTCAATTACTGGCTTCTCGAGATATTGCCTGACATCTACCAATGAGTTACTCAACGGGGTCGATACGTCCGGAACGTCTAGAAATCCCAACAGGTCATTAGATGTTCCTGAAGACGTGGATGGTGTTGGTTGCGTTTCTTCTACAGCCAAGCGTTCTTTAGTTAAATGGCTAGCATAGGCCTTTTCCAGCCACTGACCAGCTCGCTTCTCGTCGTCACTTGTTTTGAACCCCTTCTTCTTAAATCTGGGGTCCAATATTGTAGCAAGTACAACAGGTGTCCTGCTTTCATAGGGACTTAGTCTTTTGTCAACTGATCCCTTCATGCAGAGTAATATTTTGTTTCCGCTTTCAGTAACAATTTGAGATTCAACTTCTACTAATTTCGTTTTTATTCCACGAATCAATGGTATTATCAGTGACAATGTTATATAGCTTTCTCCGGAAATTTTTGTTGTAGCTAGATCGAAAGGTTCCAGAATTTGAATTGTTTCTTGAATAATTAGGTATTCGTCAGCATTGACTCCTGGTGGAGCCCGATTACATTCATTAAGTGCGAGAGTTAATTCTGTCTTCATTGTAACAATTCTTTGCAGCATGTGGTATGCACTGTTCCAGCGGGTGGGTACTTCCTGGATCACTTTCAGTTCTGGTTTATTTAATTCACGTTGAATAGCCCGTAATTTATCGCTAGCTAGAGTACTCATCTTGAAAAAAGTCACAATCGATTTACATTTTTTCAGAATCTGGTCTAAGCAGGTCACAGCAAACGAATCACTTACCGTCAGGTTTAGTGTGTGCGCAAAGCAGGGTATATGTCGTATATGCAGTTTGGCTGCGGCGTTAATCATTGTTTGAGCGTTATCAGTCGTTATTGCTTCACATTTTGACCTGATATCCCATTTTGAGAGAGTAGCATCCAACATCTGAAAACAATAATAATATTGTTTATGTCTGATTATAAAGAAACACTGAATTGGTAGGTATCAAGGCAATAAAATTTAAAAATACTTACACTGGCTATATTTTCTGCGTTATGACTTCCTTCCATCTTCACAACTTCCAATAATGGTGCAATTAATTTTTCGTTGTGAAAGAAATGACAAGTAACTGAAAGGATGCCTTCATTTGCAATTGATGTCCATAAGTCAGTAGTCACACTAACATGTTCTGCTTTCGATAATGCTATGACGAGCTTCTGTTTCACGTTTTCATAATATTCCGGCAGTAATTTCTTTTTCAATATTGTTGTATCAGGAATTTCATATCTACTATCGAGAGCATTTACAAAATCCCGAAATCCTTCATGTTCTCCTTTTCGCAAAGGTTCCATGTCAACAGCAATCATGCGCACGTATTTGTTATCCAAATTTTGCTTTGTTTTCCCATCTGGATATTTACTACTTCTATCAAAATAATTTTTTAGCGTATTTCTCTTTTTAGGGCTTGGGCCCATTTTCTCATTTTGCTCAGTGGTATCTACGTCTTGAGTAACAGAAACAGTGGATGACCACATCCATACCTCATTATGTTTTCTCTTCATATGATCGATCAAGTTCGTAGTATTTCCACTTAGTTTAAACTCTCTTTTACACAAAGAACACTTGGCAAACTTTTCATTAGTCTTTTTGAAGTAATCCCACGCACGTGACTTACTACTCATGTTTTATTGTTTAATTCTAAATTGTTTGTTACTCCACTCAACTTCAAACATCCACAATAAAAAACTGACTGACTGACTTTTGTCTTGTAAATGAATGATATACGCACGGTAATTCCCCAACCATAGAGAAGAATCTCAATGTCTACGCCTTTGAATGTATGATATACGCACGGTAATTCCCCTACCATAGAGAACAATCTCAATGTCTATACCTTTGTCACTATAGCCGGGGAATAACTTACATACATGCATACCTCGACTCTAGGGATGTAAAAGTAGTACCCGAGTAAACAATCGATCGATAGTTTTAAAAACTATCGATAGTATCGATAGCCATTTACTATCGATACCATCGATAGTCTATCGATGTTTAACGTACACTACATTGATGGCATTGGTAAGATTCTGAAGTGATGTATGGGAGTAAATTTGGAGATCATTTGCATACAAATGGTAGAGAGAAGAAATTCGTGAAGTAATAGAATTAATAAATACAGAAAAAAGGAGAGGAGACAACACGCTACCCTGTGGTACACCAGCAGTTAGTTCATACCACGTAGATGTGGCACCCTCTATCATAACATGCTGCCGGCGGCCACGCAAATAGCTTTGAAACCATTCAATTGCCGCTGGAGATATGTGAATAGAACGTAGCAGACTCAACAATACGTCAAAATCGACGGTGTTAAAAGCGTTACTGAAATCCAGCAACGTAAGAATAGTGAGCTGCTGTTGGTCCATACCCCAGCGAATATCATCTGTGATTTTAAGTAAAGTTGTAACCGTACTATGACCAAGTCTGAACCCCGATTGAAAGGAGTTTTTATTTAGGTAGTGGTTAAATTGTGCAAAGACCAAACGTTCAAGGACTTTTGAAAGGAATGGAAGGATAGATATAGGTCGATAATCTGAAGGAGAACAGGGGCTCTTCTTTTTAGGAAGTGGAATGATATTAGCTTCCTTCCAGATTCGAGGAAAGGATTCAGAGAATATGGAGTAATTGAAAATATGAGTAAGGATGGGGAGAATAATATCAATCAGGTGGACGATCATTTTACGGCTAATTTCATCACATCCGATAGCACTTGACGATATGGACAAAACGTTCTTCTTAACATCACAGTTAATAGTATAGTTGTAGCACGAATGGGTCGGCTCGACCGGGGAAGGACCACGCTGTCACAGAATACTAACGTAAAATAGCAGCTTAATAATGCTGTGTTTCGTATGGTGAGTGTAGAGAACCGGTGATCCTTTTTACTGGAAAAGAGGCATTCCATCTTAGTACTCTCGGCTGACAACGAATCTGCATTTTGATTCGTAAACGAGGTTAGATGTAGATATCTATGGCCCACAGCAACCACTTACCATCAGATGGACGTCATGGCCATGGAATCTCTCAGATGGCACGATTTTTTTCTGAGTTTATCGACAAATATCACCATAATGATAGCTAATTTGCACAAAACATTTAATAATTCCTGAACCTTAGCATGAAACTATAGCACTAGTTTCTGAGATTAGAGTAAAAGATACAGACAAATTAGTCTGAGAGCTGGCGACGAATTTTGGGCAGGTCCTTTGGGCAAGTTGAAATTGTGAAAAAATATAATTTCATCAATTGGCGAATCAAGTCCAGCGAGTCTGGCAGAGCGTTTGCGATTATTTAGTTACTGCGCAGCATATAACATTTGCAAAAAAAAAATAATCCAAAAAAATGTTTTTTTGGCAACTTTATTTCTTTTTTATCTTTTAATTTAGTTTTTATATAATTCCAAAAAATAATCCCAGACGTTTTTGTCGGTTATAAAGTATTACCAAACCTGTCCAAAAATATTTATTTTAAATTCCCAAAAAATATACTTTTGGCAATCTCAAATTTTGATCACGTATTTATTGAGTAATTTTTATTAATACCTGCAGCTTGGCAGAAAAATTTTGCGGTTTTAAACATTTCCCAGACGTGAATAAAGTTTACAAATGAATACGATAAAAAAGTCTTATGCGTAGCCATAAGTGCGAGAAAGATAGCTTATCGAAGCATGCCGATATCGGATGGGAGCCTAAGCTACTCGCGCTGTGATTGGTTACTAAGAAATATCTTTTTTAAAGATTTTAAGATTAAATTCTTGTTTTGGGATTTAGCATGTATGTATGTGCATATATGACCATGTGAACTGCCTTCACGACACAGGAGAAAATCCTAGTGAGGGGATGACGTTTATTTAAAAAAAAATTATCTGTGTATATAGTTTGAATTATTTTAGATCAGTGCTGTAATAATTTGTATAATAGGTATTAATTTTAACCTTGTATTAATAGTAACCTTGGCAAAAATATACTTTGATAATTACCACCCCATGTTCTCAAAAAAGTACAATATGTATAAAGTGCTATAATCAAGTTGCGAAAAAAACATTTTATTTTGGAATTTTTTTTGCAAATGTTATATGGTGCGCAGTAACGAAAAAACCGCAAACGCTCTGCTAGACTCGCGGGACTGGATTCGCCAATTGACGAAATTATATTTTTTCACAATTTCAACTTGCTCAAAGGACCTGCCCAAAATTTGTCGCCAGCTCTCAGACTAAATGTAGTGGGGGGGGGGGGACTTTTATTTTTAATATTTATTTACCACGTGCTCAATGGTGAATGAAAACATCGTGAAGAAACCGGCATATTTGAGAAATTAACATAATATTTACACCAAATTTCAAATTACGAAGTCGGCTTACACGCGTTGGAGCAATGCGGCGAACACATCCTTGCTCTAAAACCCTCACGAAAGGAAGCCTGTGCCCACGATTCAGACGTTTAGTTTGTAAATTTAAATTACTTTTATGTATAGAGTAGTTTGGAACAGCTTATCTATATAAATAAAAGGATAAAGGTATGCTGTTGTGCGCGCATCACGGAAAAACTACTGGATGGATTTCAATTAGGTTTTCTGAGTTTTATTGCTGAGACACTTGGCCCTTATCTAAAAAAATACTATCGGGATATCTTCATTTAATATAAAGTTATTAAAGTTTTAAGAAACAACGATTTTTTATGGGGTTTTTCACACGGTCAACTGTACGTCGCTTGCTCTCGTTTTACTAACCCAGATAATTTATATATTTTAGCTACAAACGGAGCAGCAACAAATAACATTGTTTACAAAGAAATTTTGTAAACAAAGTATATTTTTGGTTGAGATCTTTTTGATGTTTTTTCCTTCACACACACGAAGACTTTATTAATATATCAAGTTTTTAAATAAAAGTTCAAAAATAAAACCATGATAAAATTATATCAATAATGATTATATTATTATGCTTCCTCTTAAAAGCTATATTTACAGATGTGGATCATACATTATAAAAATATTATATCCTTTTGAGTTTATGTCTAATAAATAAAATCAGTCTTGACGGTCGTTAGGCGGCACACTCTCAAAAAGCACTTGTATCAGGAACGTTAATTTTCCTGAAAATAAATAAATAATACATAATTTAGTAAGTAATAAAATAATAACAAGATTTTTCTAATAATACTAACGGCCTTAATCACAAAATTCAACGTCAATATATGAAATGCTAAAAGTTTCTCTCTCTTTTCACTATATAACAATAGAAAGAGATAGATGTAAGGAATTAAGGCTAGTCCATAAAATAGGTAAGTATACCTATAGTACCTACTTAGTACTTTAAGGCCGAGATAGCTTAGGGGCCCGGGTTCATCCCGCCAGCATCGATGAAATTTTATTAAGTGCTAATTTACTGCGTGTTCGGCGCAGAAGGAAAACATCTCAGGAACAAACATAATTATATCGAAGATATGTGGATTCCGCTATCCCGCATTAGAGCACTGTGGTAGATTCCCGTACAGCGTATGAAAGTCTCCCCCATAGAGTGCCTTATAAGGGGGATTTTCCACAATACCCTCGCTTGGCAGGTGGGTTGGCAACCACAGTTTTTTATAATTTTGAGTTGCCATCAGGAAAATGCTTCTACTAATTTCCTGTTTCAGATTCCCTCTGTCGCCGTTTACGATACTACTCACGGGACGATGAGTTAGTGGATATTTTTACACTGCCACTACACGGTTAGCAAGTTATAATTACATACATATATTATGTATGTAATTATAACTTGTAGGTACATATATTATGTAAGTATTTTTTACTTTGGTGTATAACCTTATTATCCATATTCGTGTTTTTTTTTCAGACCAATATTAAGGTTACACACATTTTGACTATGTGAAATTTGAGTTTATGCCCAAGATATATCTGAATAGGCCCTGATCAACGGACGAGCTTTACCGCGATCTTGGTGTCTCGCCGGTAAAGCTCGTTTGATGGATCATCAAGAAACTGCGGTTTAGTGTCTCAACGAGAATCTCTCCAGGATCGTGCCTCACCAATGTTGTATAAAATTTGCCACGTTGTGCCCGACTACCACCTTTTTTATCGTGGAGAAATTCTCATGGATACTTTCGCGGCTGTGAGGGCAACTGAAAGGTTATGCTGGATTTCTACCGACGAAGACCCCACAGTGGTCACCATCAGGGTATATGATCCCGGGATCTCCATTTGGACCGTAATCGGTACTCCTCTCTCGCTTTGCTTTATTAAAGCACGTCACGCTGTCTCCGGACCACTTCCGAGTCACCATACTCCTCACGGTTTACATTGCTATGCGTTCGACTACCACCTACGCCCACCAACTACCATTAGGTGGACTGTGTGCTCGTTTGTCACTCTTATTCTATAAAAATATTTTCTATTAAAAACTTACTTAAAATAGCAGTCGGCGTTTTTTTGTAATACACGAAAACCGTGTATATTCCCACTCCTAACACGATAAACCCAACCGCCATTAAATACTTAATGGATGGGTCGTGTACAATTGGTAACACTGAAAGAAATATTGCCACTAGCAAAACAAAACATGGAACAATTGTAGGCACTCGGTAAGGCCTAGGTTTGTCCGCTTGAGTTTTTCTTAAAACCAATAAAGCCACCATGGCTAGTCCGTAGAAAAACCAAAGAAACCAGCTTGCAAATTCTATTAATGTTTTAATGTTACCCACAATTATAAATATTGATGTTAGTATTGCCTGTAACAAAAATGTTCATTTAATATTTTTCATTACATCACATTAAAACACCATAATTATTTATTGCATTTATTTTTATTTATTAACCTGAAAAGCTACAGCCGGTGCAGGGGTGAGTCGTTTCAAATTAACATACGAGAATACTTCCAACATATGCCCTCCCCTAGCTGCAGTGTAACACACTCTGGAAAGATGAGAACGATAAAAATTTGTCGGTACATACAGTTTATTGTATATTATAATTTGTAACACATACATAGAAATAATTTCATCATCAATACCCGTCTTTCAACAACTAGAAATAGACTTTTCTAAGAAAGCGCTGTTATGAATATTTTGAACACTACTCCGAAAGAAATTTAAAAAATTACTGCGAGAATATTCAACAATGTTGAGACTGATTAAAATATTTTTGGTACCCATTGAATTTTGTAATTATTAATATTTTGAGTACCATTTCTTTAATTATTTAATTATTTCTTACCTTGTTACACCAAACTGCACACTCATAGCGCACCCAAAAGTTGCGATGGCAACACCGAGAGGTATCAAAAAACTGGCGGGACCGAGTACTCTAGCGCCAAACGCGATAGCTACCGCTGGCACTGAAGTCATTTCCGCATAGCTTAAAACGGTCATGTACGCTACGTTCATAAAAACGTAAAGTCCCGTTATTAGAGGCACTGCTATTGATATACTGAGTGGGACGTTTCTGAAAAGTAAATATATTTATATTTTAAAACTCTCTAATGGGTTGTATAAGGGATATAGCAACTTGTTCTCAAAACTGTAAATGCCGCTACGTTCTCAAGTAGTGTGGATGAGGTGCGCAACGATATGAGGCTTTGGTAGGCTAACAGCGTGGCGGTATGTACCTATATCTATAGCAGCCCAATTGTTTGACCAGCATGGTTAGCAGTAGTCCCGCGGGTGTTTTTATAGAATATTAGCTGGCCAGGCAGACGTTGTTCTGCTCTTTTTGACGACCCTTCATATAAAAAAATCCTTAAATTCGTAATAAAAAAAATATTGAGTGTCACTTATCAGGATAAAAATTATCCTATCTCTCAAGTTGGACGAAACTGCAGACTAATGAACTCACAGTTCACCTGATGGTAAGTGTATACTGTAGCCCATAGAAATCTACATGTATTCTCGATTAAGAATCAAAATGCAGATGCGTATGCGTTACCACCCCTGAGAACTAAGATGGAATGCCTCCTTTCCAATAAAACTGTCTCCGATTCTCTACACTCACCATACGAAACACAGCAGTATTAAGCTGCAAATTTAAGCTAGTATTCTGTGAGAGCGAGTCGAGTCGAGTCGGCCTATTCGTGCTGCAACTATAATTAAGAGCTGCAGCGTGGCTCTACCGCGTATATCAATAATACATAAAAATGTAATGTGATGAGTATAGAGTTAAATCTTTCACGGTAGAAAAGTTGGGAGTAGTCACATGGCTGTTATTAGACGTCTATGAAAAATGCCAGACAGATCTCATGACTTTAGATAGATGGCGCTAAAACCATTCCATTTATGCCATATGTAAATTATCCAGACCGGGAGACTTCTGCGATCATCATTACGCCTGCTAAGCGTGACCATTTCCAAGCCGTGAACTTTTGCAGTACGGTAAAGTGGCCCATATCCAGGAAAATAAAAAATAAAAATAAATATTTGCAAGATATAGAATATATAGTATACTAACACGCCAGGGTTGATAATTTCCTCCGTGACCACGGTGACACTGTTCCATCCGTCATACGCCCACAGCCCGGAGTACAGAGCGAGAGCTATTCCCCCAGCGCTCGTAGTGCTGCCTTCAAAGCCCTTGTTTAAGTTTGCTGTGTTACCTGACGAAAAAAATATTTCTCCTAAATCCTAATTCAAGATAACATACATATTAAATACCTGAGGGGCGTTAAAAAAATATATTGTTTTCTCAGGGATGATACTTATACAAAGTTACATCCAAATCGTAAGAGATAAGAGACTATTTGCATAATAATAATAATGTCCTCCAGACATAGTTTTGCTCACGACAGCCAGTCTCAGAGACTAGTCATCTGTGCAGGACAGGATTATAGTGCCAGAGTGCATGCGCAAGCACAAGTGCACCCTCTATTCCCTCTCTTATAGTCCGATGAGACGGTTAGCCGATACAACCGTAGAGAGAGATCAGGCGCAGGATCAACGGCTTTATGTGCTTTCTGAGGCAAGGGGATGTAACACCGCCAACTTCCTGACACCGGACTGCTACTGAATATATAATATAATAACTGATTTCGGCCTGATCCGGGATTCGAATCCAGAACCTCACGATCAGCAAAACTGCGTTTTAGACTACTACACCAAAGCATTCAGGACAGACTTAAAATACTCCGAACGGTGTAGAGACGAGAGGCAGACTCAAAGGTGCTCACGTCTGCTGCTATAGTTAATTTGCCTGTTAATCGTGACGTAAGGCATGTGACATATCCAGCAATGGACTTTGATGAGCCGATATTGAAGAAGAAGATAGTCACCCTTATGCTATAAAAAAAATCTGTCAAATATTATGCCTCACTTTTAAGTGGCTCGGTCCTGGTGGCAGAAAGAGACGTGGATGCCCTCATTGGAGACATAAAAAAACTATTTTTTTTTATAAGACTGGACTAAAAGACCGTTACAAACAAAAAAATATTTATAAGTACAAATATGACAGAGTAGTTAGTTACCTAGATGATAAATATTGCTTAATATAAAAATACTAGACATATCATATACCTTTGGCGATTTCGTATATTCCACCACCGATGACAATAAGACAGGCGAAAACTTTGCATATCCCGAAAATATTCTGCACCTTGACGAACAATTTGACGCTGGTTATGTTAATGTACGTCATTATAACTGAAAAAGAAGAGGAAATTTGTACCTATTTGTTTTTAAAAAAACCGGCAAAGTGCGAGGCGGACTCGCGCACCGAGGGTTCCGAACAAATCCAATCAATTCCAAAAAAAAGGTATATAAGTTTAAAATTATTAAAAATATTTTTATTATATGATGTAACTAAAAATTTACGCTTTTCGCAATTATTCCTTTATCTGTGCTATAAAACGTTGCTTCGTACCAAATTTCAAGATTCTGAGTTCACGGGAAGTACCCTGTAGGTTTAGATTCCCTTGCGAATGTCGAAAATTTACGGCATAAATGGCTGTATCTTTTGATTACGTTGGCTTTTTAATTTCAGCTCGTTACCTCCACGCGTTCTTGAGAAAAAGGGTCTTGACAGACAGACAGACAGACAGACGGGTAAGAAAGTGATCCTATAAGGGTTCCATTTTTTTCTTTTGAGGTACGGAACCCTAAAAATAGTGACATACGAACTTACAGCCCACCTGATGGTGACTACTACAGCCTAAAGTCGCCTCCAATCAACCGCAAATAAAGAACGCTACAGGTGCGTACTAAGATGGAACGTCTCACCCCTGTAATTATACTGGCTCTCTATACTTTTCAAAACGAAACATAGTTGCAGTGCGCGTATTGCAGCTTATCGACAGAAAAATTTTAAGAGGTTCGTGCCTAGCCAGAGTCCCTTATGCAGAAAATTAGTCCTACCACAAAGTACAAGTCGCGCCACGTAAGGCTAGCGCTGAATAAAACGTGCAGGGGACACGCATGAATTCGACTGGAGAGGCAATCAGCGCGAATTATGCGCAGTAACGGTCATCGCTAGACTTTCATGCCGCTACTTATGTGACGTAATATTTAGCCGGAAATGGTTCACTATTTTGGTAATAATCGCTTACAGATTAAAAAATTGATATATACTGTCGTGGACTTTTTTGTAGACTATTTAGTAGAAACAATCCCACTATAAATTATATTTGTAACCCTTACAATTTTTTCACCGCACGCCAAAATAGATATATAAATTTTTCCGACTTACTCAACACTTATCGTCATATTTTGACCACTTTACACAATATCTTTATTAATTATAGCCTATGGTTGTTCTGATGTGTAAGCTACATTATTGTAATGTTTCATTAAAATAATTCAGTAGTTTTTGTGGGGAACAGTAATAAACATCCATACATCCTCACAAACTTTCATGTTTATAATATTACTAGTACAATAGTAAGAAGTAGGATGAATTATGTATTATACCACCACTATTAGAAGCTATGATGACATCTTTTGACAGTTTTCATAGTCACCTTTTATATATCCAGAAGACAAAAAATGGTGATGGATTTTTTTTCTGCCACCACCTGATGACTATATAAAAAAAAATAAGAATCTACAGTTACGAAACTGTAAATAGGTTTGACTAATATAAAAAAAAAAACTAATTATTTTAATTTATTTTATTTATAACTACATCTAAACATACAGCTCTTCAAGTATTCAGTAATTAAGTTTAACTTCCATATTATTATAAGGGTTTGCAGACACTATGTTCATGTCCTTTAGCAGTAGTAAAGCAGGGTAATTTTCTGTTGTAACCTGAATGTAACCACTTGATGTTTCATCTAGCCTCTCTTGCATCAATTGCTGAAACAGTTGTATTTATTAATAGTAATAAGAAATATAGTGTAATGTGTAAATGGTTAGTGGAAGTCCATAGTCTCTGTCTATCTCTCTGCATGGCTAGCATGGGCTGGGGACAAAAAATATATCCACTGACAAGACATAAAATTATTGTGTCCTTATGCCAAAGCACAGAAACGGGGAGAAGTATATCCCCGTTTGACATAACAAATAGACATATATCCCTCATCCATAGCACGGAGCCAAATGAAAGATTTGAAAGGGACAATTTTATCCTAGTTCATTGGACATGGGTTTAAGATTATATTCATACAAAAACTCTATCTAAGTCTATCTCCCATTTTATCTACTGTGGATATTATATCCACCGGTGTGCCCATGCTTGAAGGGTGGATAACACTAAGCGAGAGGATAAACATTTTCTCCTTTCCACGGGGATAAAATTGTCTCCTGCCCATGCTAGCTCTGCTGTGTGACAGGTGTGTTTATGATATGATGTGTAACGGGTACGGTGACTGCCTCATTGGCCTAGTGGTCTAAGTGTATGGTCTTGGGTTTGAATCCTGGGTTGAGGTTAAAATGCAATTTTGAGGTTTTTCTATCAAGAAATTCTCAGTAGCATCTGCAGTCAGAAGGTGAGTGGCATCTTACCCCCCAAAACATATAAAGTCCTTGGTCATGAGCCTAATCTCTCTTCAGTTGTGTTGGATTGACGTCACATTGGACTATGATAGTGAGGGAGTACACCTGTGTTTGCATACACACTTATGGACTATAATCCTGTCTGGAGGACATTATTATTATGAGCAGTGTAAGACAAAAGAGAAGTAATTAAATGTTAAGCCGTAATAAAATTTGGTTAGTCACAAAGAAACAGGATTTAAATTATTTGGTTAAAAAAAACATTCGGCAATTCTTGTTTCACAAATAATCTTAATAATGTTTAGTATTTTAATCATAAATGGATAGCTTACAATAATATGGGTCTGCCTAATAAACAGTCAATCTGCAAAATAACTACTTGATCAACAAGATTCACGTTTAGTTAGCAAAGAAAATATTACTATATATAGTTTGTTCAATCACTATTGATGATTATTCGATCGTAAATACAACTTAATTGTTAATAATTGACTATAAAAGTGAGACAAGCGAGCTTGGGACTTGGGGCACCCTAACTCAGACAGATTAGGTTAGAAGGGGATGACTGGGATGAGTGAGAGAGAAGTGAGCAAACAGACCCTGCTATCCCCTATGTAACCATATTTTCTTATAAACTCCCCAGTAATAAAGGAGCTTATTTTAAAGATTGGTGATTGGAAGCTGCAACATGCAAAGACTCCACACTCACTAACCCTCTCCTATTCAGTATGATATAAGACAAATCTTTTAACTGATATGGTAATGTAGTTTGGAAGGACCACACTCTCACATAATACTAAAGTAAAATAGCAGCTTAATGCTGCTGTGTTTCGTATGGTGAGTGTGGAGAACCGGAGACCCATTATATTGGAAAAGAGGCATTCTATCTTAGTCCTGACGGCTGACAATGCATCTGCATTTTAACTTCGCAAACGAAGATAGATGTAGATGTCTATGGGCCACAGTAACCACTTACCATCAGGTGGACTGTGTGCTCGTTTGTCACCCTTATCCTATAAAAAAAAGATAATTCCTCCAGATTGTAAATGAAGCTATTCAAAGGCTTACCCCTAAAACATCTTTGATAAGATCAGCAGAGTTAGGATACAAGGAATATATAAGTCCATGAAGTTCTTTTTTTATCATATGGAATCTTGCCTTAGCCTTCTCTATGTGCTGTGGATGTATATCCTTCTTTTCTGCTCTAGGTCTTGATCTGGCTTCTTGTGATGTTTTGATCAAGTTATTTAAACTGAAAACATAAATGTGTATAACAGGTTCTTATGGATATGCATTATGTATCTATTGATTCATACATTTAAAAGCATTGATTATAATGTGACTATTTATTTTTTATTTTTACTCTAACAGCAATAAATAAGGATCTTGTTGTTGCTTCTGCACTTACACTTTGGTAAGAATAAAATTAAAGTTTTAAGTAATAAAAATTTACAAATCACAATACCCAAAACATGTAAGCAAATCTTATAGTAAAGCAATTAATTTTTATGTTTTTGGTGTGGATGAATTAGAAGTGAAAAAGAAAACAATAAATACTTTTCTATTTTGGCATCCAAGTCATGAATTGAGCCCTTGGTAAAAGCTATGAGTTCTTCAACTTGTTCAGTTTTCTCTTTCATTTCAGCGAGGAATTGACTTGTTAGTAAATTACTGTCAGTCGTAATAGCCGTGTGCGAGTTTTGTATATCTGTTCGTAACGCTTCTACATAATTTAAAGCTTTAGCTTCTGTGTTGTTTGGTATAAGACTCACATCTGGCGAATTCTCAATAACATTATAAGCGTCTATACACCGTTCTTGCAATAATTTCAACTCTCTTGACAATGCTTCTTTCGTCTCATTATTCATCTTAAACTTTTGATAAAATCTTTAAAAGAGATAACAAAAAATGTAAATCGTAAAAAATAGAAACATTATGTAAACAACTTCGCGTAGATTTTTACTTACCCTTTTTCTGTATTTATTTAAGCAATACTAGAAACCTCAATTTCATAGAAGAATAATTAACAAGTTTGTAGGACTTTAATTATATTATTTGAATGGAATTAGAAGATATTATATGAATTATGATATACTTATTACTTAAAGATCGTTAATTATTTTGATTTTGATTTGCTAGGTTTCTATAAAGTTTGTTTGCTACTTTTGTTGTTGTTGATTGTTGTAACGATTCTACAATTAAGGTCGGCAAAGGTCATAGACCGTACAGCCTATACTGATTTGTATTTTTTTTGCCATTTATGGTTTGAAAATAGTATAATATACAATATACAAACTACATTGTAGTTCTAAGACAAAACTCATCATATATTTAATATACTATTAAATAAATCACTTTGTATATTTTAAGATTGAAGGATATGCTAATATCTATGGTTCGCCTAACATTTACAATTGACACAAGGAGTGTAGAAGTAAGGAGAACCATCTCATAAAAAAGGTCCAACTGTATACTCAAAATAGAGGTTCTAAAACCTACCAGAATAATGCTGGCGTCTGAAAAACTACGATATGAAAATAGCTGTTGTAGACGGAGTGAAGTTTGCTGAGTTCAAATATTTAAAAAAAATCATGTTTAGAGTAGTTAGTAAAATGCCAGTACACAAAACTCAACTATTTACGTAATAAAATCTAAAACAATTACCTAAATATAACCAAAAAACTGCTGTGAAAAAAACGTGATTTTATTAGTGTGAACTTTTTAATAATTATTAGTGATTTATATATATATATTTTTATTGTGGTGATAGTATAAGACTAAGGAAAAACTCGTATTCTGAAAAGTTGTCCAAGTGGACGTAAACTCAAAACTACAAAAAAATGGTTCACTTCAGCTTTTGTCTCTTTTCCGACCTGTAGGTATGTTGAGTAAATTATTTTGAATTATTTATTTAATTTACGACACCCTGATTGAGAAATCAAATTAAAAATAATTCAATCCATGCAAGTGTATATTTATATAGTATTTAAGTCTTTGTTTGATTCTCCATCATAATCTTATTACTTTTGGCACTTTTTTTAAAATGTATCCTATGCTATCGCAGCGCCACCCTTATTGGACGCATTTTACTGACACTTATTCATACACAGATATGGTTCTCCATACCTACCTCTACACTCCATACATTGACAGTAGTATCATTGTGACACAGCACAGCTGCACTGCTGAGATCAGAGCTGCCAATCTAAAATTTTAGACAGCCGTGTATTTTCGGTAAAAACCCGTTTCTTTCTTTTTTCAATCGGGCAAAGTAGTGATCACATCTTTAAACAAAAAGGTGCTCGAAATGTATAAAGATATTTTGCTATGTTTTTTAGATCGTGATTATGTCAACAACACTGAGCTTTCTGCTATTGACATTGAACTTCAAGAGAAATGGAATTCTAGTGATGAATAAAATTACGCAGTCTGAATTGCGTCGTCAGATACCTACCACCAAGGAGGTTTTTCATTGCTGTCGGCATTTTCTAATCACAAGTGCTAAAGAAATAAAAAAAAGATAGGACCTAGATGATCCTATTCTATCAAAAATTGATTATGTTGAAGCTACCAATGCTGCTTCCAGTAATTACAGAAATAAAGTAGCTTCCTTACAACCACACATGAAACTTGTTCCAAGAATAGTAAAGTCCGACGACATCTAAACAATGCAGGCAATAGATAACGAATGGCGCAGTTTTCGGAGGCTTTTCATCGCTGTCGGCATTTTCTAATCACAAGTGCTAAAGAAATAAAAAAAAGATAGGACCTAGATGATCCTATTCTATCAAAAATTGATTGTGTTGAAGCTACCAATGCTGCTTCCAGTAATTACAGAAATAAAGTACCTTTCTTACAACCACACATGAAACTTGTTCCAAGAACAGTAAAGTCCGACGACATTTAAACAATGCAGGCAATAGATAACGAATGGCACAGTTTTCCCAAAATTTTAAATAAAAACGAAACTTTAAATACCTACGAATTTTGGGGCGTCATCAAAAAGCTATTTGAAAATTATAAAACACTGGCTCAATTTACTTTAAAGTTATGTTTGCCCCATTCTAGTGCCGATCGTGAACGAGCATTTAACGAAGTTAAAATAAAATTTAGGAATAATTTATCCAATGACACACTGAATGGAATATTACTAGCTAAGAAACTTATAAGAAGAAACGAAAATCGTACGAAGTTTAAGCTAACGGAAGAAATGTTGAAAATGATGACCTCAGCAAATTTGTATAACTATAATAAGTAGTTTTAATACATTTTCGATAATTGTATAACACATTTTTGTTAGTTTGAATGGAAGCTGTTTACTTTTGGTTTGTACGATCTTTTCATTTCAAAATCTCTGACATACGACTTTTTTATAGTTGGCGTACGATTTTTTTTGTTCGATGTTTTTTCCATCTGGCAGCCCAGTATCTGACCTCAGTTCCTGACGATTCCGATTTTCCTGACCCATGGCCGTCGCGCACCGGACTCTGGGAAGTCCGCTAAGCAGGTTGCATTTATGGCCGTGGAGGGGAGATTTTAGCAATTATTACATTTAAGAATGAAATTTACACATATTAATAAAAAAGTCGTGTGCGAAAAAAATTAAGCCTTAAATTTTTACATAAATTATTACGATGGTTTTTGTCCCAAATGTAGGGCATTTCCCTTAAGACCTCCGCTATGCCATAATCTCTCCTCCTTTTAAAGTAATCTTGTTTTTAAGTACACCAGAAAAATGCGTACATCATATTTCTTTATACGTTGCGAACCGACCACAGATCACTATTACTTATTCCAAAGAGTATATAATCAATACGTTTTAATTACTTATATCCGAGGATCTGACTGAGCATCCTCGTCAAGGTCCTCGTCCTAAATTAAGTGTTGTCGCCTGTCAAAAATAAATGTCGCTATATCAGATCTCAAAAACCAGGAAAATAAAAGGCAGATTTAGCTAAATTCGTCTAAACGAAAGGTCACTAGAACTCGCTAAAATTATTGTTTACTTTATTTGTGGCTCTGAACCACAAATAAGTGGCAAATAAGAAAATAATATTAATAAGAATTATATAAATGGCCCAATAAAAAAAAGGCCTAACTCCTCCCCCCGCCCCACCTTAATATGGTAGCGGAGTTAAATAGATCATTACCCCAGGAGTGTATCAGCACCCCTGCGGACGGAGAATCCCTCGCTGAGCATCCACGGCCAAACCCCGCGTATTCTGGGGGCAAAATTCCGCTCGTGACTAATACTAGTCGGGGCAAGCCGAGCAATAAGACCAAGGCGTCCCCTGTCACGCTATCTGTGAATTTTTGCAATATCAGGGGACTTCATTCTAACCTTAACGCCGTCCACTACCATATGGAGACGACAAAGCCGACGTTGCTCTTACTAACCGAGACACAGGTGTCCTCTCCGGCTGATACTTCGTATCTCTCCTACTCGGGGTACAAATTAGGACACTCCTTTGTGCCCCGGGCTGGAGTTTGCGTATACGTCAGAGAGGACATCTGTTTTGGACGCCTCGGCAGACTTGAAGGTACGGACCTGTCCATCCTATGGCTGCGCGTAGACAGCAACGACCATTCCCGCGTCTACGGGTGCCTTTATAGGTGCGTTTATAGGTCCCATAGCGGTAATGCCGAAATAGACCGACTCATCGACCACATCCAAATGGCTACAGATTCCTTTTTACAGCAGATCCCATTCGCAGAGATCGTGATCCTTGGCTTGACTCACTGGGCCATCCCGCAAAGGAGAAAGCCGATCTTCTAGGCTCTCTCTTTGCTTCCAACTCAACTCTCGATGACCGGGAGAACACACCGCCGACCATCCCGCGGTATGAGTGCTCCATGCAGGAAGTGATGTTTACACAGCGCTCGGTGCGCAAAGCACTTTTCTCCCTGGACGTTAAGTCGAGTGGGCTTGATGGAATCCCACATATTGTGCTGAAGACGTGTGCTCCAGAGTTGGCACCGGTTTTAATGCGTCTTTTCCGGTACTCCTACTCTCTAGGCGTAGTCCCGAACTCATGGTGCACCTGATCCCTATAAAAGGCCACCGCTCAGATCTGACCAACTATAGGCCTATCGCTATCACCTCTTTGTTTTCCAAAGTAATGGAAACTATTATTAAGCGCCAGCTCATGCGGTACCTTGAGGATCACCAGCTGATTAGTGACCGCCAGTACGGTTTCCGTCGAGGTCGTTCAGCTAGTGATTTACCTAAGGACGGGAGGTTACCTAACTCATAGATGGGCGGAGGCAGTGGAGTCCAAGGGGGAGGCGTTGGCTGTTAACCGTTAGTTTGGACATAGCGAAGGCCTTTGATCGGGTTTGGCACAAAGCGCTTCTTTCGAAGCTTCCTTCCTATGGGCTTCCCGAGAAATTGTACAATTGGATCACCAGTTTTCTTGCAGATCGGAGCATTCGTAGTAGACAGTGCATGCTCCGACTACAAGCCGCTGCAGTTATATTGTGGTTGTAGCGCGAATGGGTCAGCTCCGGGGCAGGCCACGCTCTTACAGAATACCAGCGTAAAATAGCAGCTGATTGCTATTGCCTTCGTATGGTGAGTGTAGAGAACCGGAAACCCTTTTTACTATAATGAGGCATTCCAGCTTAGTCCTCAGGGGACGACGCGTCTGTATTTTCATTCTGAATTGAGTATAAATGTAGATGATGTCTATGGGTCACAGCATCTACTTACTATCAGGTGGAATGTGTGCCCGTTTGTCATCTTATTCTATAAAAAAAAAGATATACACACAGCCTCTTATAATACTGGCTCTTCAGTATAATTACAGGTTTACAGGCTGCAGTGGGACTCTACATGTTAGTCCTGATGGGTGACAACGCATCTGTAGCGCTCTTTGAATGTAGTCGTGTCCTGTCGGCTGCAGGTGTCAATGAACTGCAGTACCATTTACAATCAAGTGAACTTTAAATTCGTTCGTCACTTCTATCTAATGTATAAAAGTTAATGTTTGTTTGTTCATATTTTATGCGCTGCCATACTCTCTATGTATATATCAGATTGCGGTAAAACTTTGTGAACATATTGCATGCACTTCCGCAAAGGTTATTAGGCATAGTACAATTAACATTACAGTATGAGGCGCGTATATCGTACTGAATTAGAAATTATATATATCATTCAACTTCAATAATTGTTTTATCATTCCCAATGAAACAATACACCTCTTCCAAATTTAAAATTATATTTCCGCAATAATTTCTTCTGCGGTTGCAACGCGCCGGGTACCAGCTAGTTTTGTATAAAAAGGATATTTTGAAACAAATACTCACACAACGCTGCCAATGATGCTAGCTTAATTGCCGTATCTTTATACCCAGCCTCTAAATCAGCAGTAAATGGCTGTATTGCGTACTCGGCGAAAGTCATCACAATTATAGCTACTTCAGCTGGCCTTAAGATGACAACATAAATCCATGCACATATAAACGAGGGTAACGGACCCCAATATTTGTGAATTTTTCCAAATGCTTCCTGGAAATATGAATATTCGGCGCCAGATTTACCCAGCACGGTCCCTAATTCAGCGAATGATAAGGCTCCTGAAATAATATATATAATATATATATAAGTATAAACATTGTCAATTAACCTGAACTCTTAATATATTCACAGGCGTCACAGGGCGAACTAAAGATGTAAAACTATTTGTAATGTCTATCAATCCCATATTTGATAGAAAGCAGAATCAAAATATACTAGGCTAACTTTAAGCGACAGTACCTAACCTAATAGTAAAGTACGGACCGCGAACTCAAAAGTGTTGTTTCGAATCTGACATTCGACTGTTGTCGTGAACCAATGTTCACTAGCATTTTAAGCTTACTTAATATTTTTTAACATTTTTTTAGTTTTAATAATAAAGACCTAGATTGTTAATCAAACCGTGTCATAGCGTATCAGAAGACTGTTAATTTATTCACTCTTGCATTGAAGACACCCAGATTTTATTCGGGCAGGAAATACACTACTGATATTGATATGCATATAAAGTTTAAATATTATGTGGTTTATTTTTTAAACAATTAGGGGGACAAACCAGCACGCAGTCCACTTGATGGTAAGTGGATGCTGTGGCCCAGATGCGTTGACAACCCTGAGGACTAAGATGGACGAAGATAAAATGCCTCGTTACCAGTAAAAAGGGTCTTGGGTTCTCTATGCTCACTGCACTTTACTTTCTCTTGTATTTAACTGCTATTTATCGCTGGTATTCAGTGAGAGCCTGGTCCTTTTCCGGTGGAGCCGACCCATTAATACTGAACTGCAGCGCGGTTCTATCATGTTAAAAGTCTATAGAAAATTAAGATTTTTATTATCGGTTGCCGACCTATTTATAAATAGTACAATAGCACGACATAATATTATCTTCCCTTTTCTGCCGACTACCGAAAAGGAGACGGTACTCAATTCGACTGTATGATTTTTTTATGTGTATTACCTCATAATTTTTTACTGGGTGAACCGATTTCGATGATTCTTTTTTTATTTGAAAGCTGGTACTTCTCGTGCGGTCCCATTGATCAAGGTCACACCAATAGTTTTTGAGTTATTTTTAATAACTTATATTGAAGTCGGCAGTACAACATTTTAATTTTAAATTATTACATTATTTTTTTTATGAAAGTTTAATATGATAAGATACCATTAAAACCTAATATCTGTCATTTAAAGATAATCTATACTTTATGCCAAAAAACGACTATTATTTATATATTGGTCTTTTTAAAAAGTATGAATTAATGATAAAAATTTAAGTCACCCAATGCAATCAACCTGGATAGATAACAGAGTGTTGTGTAGACGCGACACTGTAACAGCATTAAGACTCAGATCTGGACACATTCCATGCAATAAATTTTTATACTTGATGCGAAAAATTACCTCACCAAATTGTTCAATTTGTAATATTATCGATGATGTTTATCACATTTTGATAGAATGTGCCCAGAACTCAAGAGAAAGAGCAAATTGTAATTTATATTTGTCCTTAATTGGTAGTACTTAGTAATAGTATTTTATCCGACCCGTTATCAAATGATGCCAAAAAACTGTATTTGTTAGTTAATAAGAGATTAAATAACTAGTAAACATAATAAGTTTATTTGTTAGTAATTATATTTAAGATTTTTTGTAACTACCATGGCGGCATAATCGCATCAGCGATAAAGCCCTTTATATATGAATAAAAAAAAATTAAGTACTGCGTAGAACAGGCTTCTTACCTACACCCACCTAGTAAAGATATCATTCCAGATAACGTCCATATTATTAAACATAAAGCGACGGAACCGGAATGCTCTAACGCAGAAGCCGGAGATACAAAAATTCCTGAGCCAATCATAACGCCAAGTATCAAATTCACGGCAGAGAATAGTCCCAGTTCCCGCCGTAATTTGACACCACTGCCGTAATTGCTCGACTCTTCGTTTGCAACAACGCATTTCTTAAAGGCGGCCTCTTTGGAGGTCATTTTTACTCCAACTGAAACAAACAAAACATATTCAATAATGTAATAGAATGTTAACATATCACAGAACAAAGTAATACGACAGAGGGAAGCAAGCGAGGGTTTGCACAATAGCGTCTTCATAATACATCTATACAAATAAATAAACCTAGCAAGCTAACAGCATAGCAAAGTGGCGAAGCAATCGGCTTTGTAGCGGTTTCTAACGGTTGCCGTTGAGCAATCAGTTTCAAAATAGGAGGTTCAGATGCCTGGGTGCTCAGTAATCGATTGCTGAAAACAGAATTTGAAAATTCAAAACCGTTCTCGAGATAATCGTGGGACAGACGGACAGACGGACAGACGGATAGACGGACAGACATCGTGAAATCAATAAGTGACTTCGCAAGCTTCGCCACTTAATAAGTGACTCCGCAAGCTTCGCCACTTAATAAAATTGAAGTGTCTGTTTGTAATTTCACGTGGTAGAGCCATGCTGCAGCTGTATTGGTGGTATAGTTGTAGCACGAATGTAGGACCACGCTCTCACAGAATACCAGCGTCAAATAGCAGCTTAACACTGCTGTGTTTCGTATGGTGAGTGTAGAGAACCGGAGACCCTTTTTACTGGCAAAGAGGCATTCCATCTTAGTCCTCACGGGTGACAACGCATCTGCATTTTGATTCGCAAACGAGGATAGATGTAGATGTCTAGGGGCCACAGCAACCACTTACCATCAGGTGGACTGTGTGCTCGTTTGTCACCCTATCCTATAAAAAAATATCAAAATAATAGCTTTTTATTATATGCATATGAAAGTATATACGGTACTTATAACAAAAACACGATTTTTATATTTTTTGTCTGTCTGTCTTTCTGTCTGTTTGTTCCGGCTAATCTGCGAAACGGCTGGACTGATTTTGATGGGATTTTCACTGGCAGATAGCTGATGTCACAAGGAGTAACTTAGGCTACTTTTATTTTAGAATAAGAATTAGGATTCCGCGCAAAACATTACAACCTATGAAATCCAATCGTAATAAAATTACGCGCGGGCGAAGTCGTGGGGTTCAGCTAGCTTCAAATAAAAATACAGAGCAAATATCAAAATACCCCTGAGAACTAAGACAATGCTTTGCTTCAATCACCATACCAAACACACCAGCTGTATGCTATTTCACGTTGGTATTCTGTGTGAATGGTCTTTTCCCGGTCGAGCCGACCCATTCGTGCTGCAACGAATATGTATGTCGTAAAACTCGACTAAGGGGATAGGGGAATGCCCACAACTCAACTCTTACCACACGTGTGAACGAAAATTAGTTTTTTTTTAATTAATAAGTTTTTTTCTTGAGATGTTTCTTACATATTAAGTAGACAATGATTTTCGTTAGTGCTATTTGAGTATACTCATATTTTGACCTTGAAGTCGAGTTAAAGAGGTCGATTTAACCACTTAGTTTCAATCAGGATGTAATGACACTATTGTGAAGTTGCTTTTTGTGCGTTCAAATTTTGCATGATGCGTTCAGGCAATATAAAAGTTCTGATGGGAAAGTATTTGGTTACTGTATGCTTTTGATTCAGTGGTACTGAGAATTTAAAGTCATACGAGCGTATTCATGCGATACCTACCATCAGCACTATCTGGGTGTCTGGCGGTCCACCACTAAGCGATTTACTCCGTTCCACAGAAATCAAAATAATACGGGTAAGACACTGTCTTATTATTACGATTTCTGTGCTCAGTTCCCTTCCTCGCATGACTTCTTCAAGATAATTTAAAATTAAAAATTTTATACAAATGACTTCAAAATAAATTATTAAAAATAACTCAAAAACTATTGGTCAGATCTTGATTAAATTTATATGGGACCACATGAGAAGCACCAGATTTCAAATAAAAACAGAATTATCGAAATCACGCAGACAAAAGTTATGAGGTAACACACATAAAAAAAACCATAAAGTCGAATTGAGTACCTCCTCCTTTTTGAAATCGGTGGAAAAGAGCTTACTTTCTTTAAAAGGCCGGCAACGCACCTGCAATACCGCACGTATTGTAGTTGTTCATGTGGTAGTCAGTTTCCATCAGGAGAGAAGCATGTTCGGATGAACGGATGGAGCGTTTTAAATTCAAATTTGGAACTTTTAACTAGAGTTAGGGATGGCGATTAGCCTCATAGTTCTTGTACTATTATTTATTCTGTGCTTATAGTTAAAAATTATATTATTATGATTTAGTATTTGCCTTCATTTTACTTGTACGTATAATAACTACATTCAAACTAATTAATAAATGATATAATATAACCACTTTTTTTTTCTAGAATAAAGGTGACAAGCGAGCTCACAGTCCACCTGATGGTAATTGATGCTGTGGCCCATAGACATCTAAATATAGATGATACTTAATCAAATATCATCTATATTGATGAATGGTATGGCGGCGCATAAAATACGAACAAATAAAAGTTAATTTTTATATATTAGATTTAGCACGTGCTCAGCAATGGATAAATACATCACGAGAAAACCTGTAAAGGAACTAAAACAAAATGTGCGAGGATAACAGTGGTAGAGCCACATGGCGGCTTTTGCTGTCGCACGGATGGGCCGGCTCGAACCGGGGTGGTATCACGACCTCACAGAATACCAGCGTGAAGTAGAGGTTTACCTCTGCGTTTCGCTTGGTGAGTGCAGGTGGCCGGAGGCCCTTTTTACTGGAAATGAGGCATTCCATCTTAGTCCTCACGGGTGACAACGCATCTGCATTTTGATTTGTAATAGAGGATAGATGTAGATGTCTATGGGCCGCAGCAACCACTTACCATCAGGTGGACTGTGTGTTCGTTTGTCACCCTTATCCTATACAAAAAAAACAATATAATACGTAGCCCACTAACATGCAAAAGGGCATTGCGGCCGACTGACTCTACCGTGCTACAAAACTGTCACACAATAAATATCTGTGCCCAGTATTAATACGTTTATTAGACTTACGAATGCTTTAAGTTTTATTTTTATTGTACAACTATCTTGCCCCGGCTTTACCCGGATTGAACAATTATTTATAATATGTCTCTACCGCACCGACATCCCTCCCACCGCCACGCAAATCGAAACCATAATTATTTTGTCGCGCGATAGTTTTAATATAAAAATGATTACTGTGAGTTATTATTAGAAAACAGACATATGCTTTCTTTTCAAACTTTTCAAAAGGAACAATTCAACCCATATATTATTTTCATGCAACTAACAATTGACGCAGCGCACACTATGAAAGATCTCAAAAGGTACGACTGTTACCAACTTAGCTGACGAATATCATCATAACTTTTAGTCATAATATATGTATATACACAATGTATAGCCTATGTCCTATCTGCTGGAATTATATACCTTTCAAAATAGTGAAATATCTTTTCAAATTTCCAGTGGTTCCGGAGATTACCCTCTACATGTATACACAAACTCACAAAATTCCCACTCTCTCTTTATAGTATTTAATTAGTATTTAGTATAGACTGTAGATATCATTATCAAAAATATTTTAGTGTTAGTGCTGCTATATCAATACGGGAAATCTCGAGTAAGTAGATATGGTATCTTTATACTAATAAATCTTTTTTAAGCATTGTATTAATTGATTATTTTAAGATAAGTTTTCATTCTATTTGCCTATAACTAAATTAAAAAAAAAATACTAGTAATGCAATTAAACATTACTAATATTCCCTTTAACCACTTCTGGTAAGCTTAAAATGCTTGTGTTAGAAGTGGTTCACTACAATAGGCGAATGGCGGATTCGAACCCACGACCTTTCGAGTTCGCGGTCCGCGCCCTGCCATTAGGCTACTGACGCTTCAATGAAATAATCGGTCTAATCAAATAAAAGGTCTCTCCAATTTACTTGGAGAGTCGACGTTAAAATAGTCCAAAAATATGCTCAACAAAGACTAAAGTATTTTTAAAATTTATTAATAAACTAGCGACCCACCCCGACGTCGCCTGGTTGGGATCTGTTAATCGTTATTAAATTTTAAGATAATTATCAAAAAATATTTTAACAATTTTTTAAAAATTAATTAATAAAAATATAACCTAAATCATTCCTGGCAATGGTCACTCTTTTCGTAAAGTTTCATCACATATTGTAAAGGTTCACCCGGACAGACAGACACACAGACAGACACACAGACAGACAAACGGACTAACAGACAGGCAGGCAGGCAGACAAAACATTTAAAAAGTTTAAAAATGGTTATTCATGTTTTAAAAGGCAAATATTTCGAAATTACAATTCAATTTTATTTATATGTAAAGATAGCTACTAGTTATTGTGGTGCAGTTGCACGGGCCGATGATATCCCGGACATCATCCTGAGCGACATTAGAATGGCTCTCCAGCACCTTAAAAACGGTAAGTCCCCGGGCGAGGATGGAATTACAGCGGAGCTTCTAAAAGCGTTTGGAAAACCGGTGTTTGAAGTTCTTCAGAAGCTCTTTAATTCCGTCCTTCATGGTGGCACTACTCCGGAGGCGTGGAGCAGAAGTGCAGTGGTCTTGTTCTTCAAGAAAGGCGACAATGCTCTCTTGAAGAACTTCAGACCGATTTCCCTTTTGAGCCGCGTCTACGTGCTGTTTTCGGGAGTCATAACAAATCATCTCGCATGCAGACTCGACGACTTCCAGTCTCCCGAACAAGCCGGTTTCCGAAAAACTTTTAGCACCATAGACCACATACATACCCTCCTGCGAATTGTACAGAAGACCGAGGAGTACAATTTGCCACTATGTCTTGCGTATGTGGACTATGAAAAAGCCTTTGATTCCGTCGAAATTTGGGCGGTGCTGCAGTACCTTCAGCGGTGTCAAGTTGACTGTCGGTTTATCGAAGTGCTGAAGTGTTTGCAGAGGCGTAGCGTGGACTACGACGTGAGCGAAGTCGCATCAGCGAGGCCCCATTTCTTTCATTCCCAAGATCTACCCAATAGATCTTTCCCACCAAACATGCTT